GCGGCTACCACCGACAGACTCCACTCCAGCACCCCCAGAAGGAACACCCTCAGGGCCCGAAACTCCTCGAGCACCGGCACCACCCCCGGGGCCACCGGGGCTAGAGCCCACTCCAACGCCGACACCCCCAAGAGCAACGAACGGCTGCTGCAACGGCGGCGGCGGCGGCGGGGACGACGGCGGCTGCAGAGGCGACGGCGGCTGCAGAGGCGGTGGAAGAGGAGACACCGGGGGAGGGGCAGACGGCGAAGACTACGCCGCAGGACCACCAGAGTCAGAGGACTCCTCAACCGGGTCTACCGACGGAAGGGGGGTGACGTGTGACACACCAGAGGGGGGAGGACAGGGAGGGCGAGGGGGGGGGGCAGGGACTACCGGCGAAGGAGGGACCAGGAACAGGGGGGGAGTAACCGGGGGACCGCGGTGGGGGAAGCGACGGTAGAAGGAGACGGACTCGTCAAAGGTGACGTCGCGAGAGTGAAAGAAGCGGTGAGACGGCGGGTGGTAGAAGTGCCAGTCGGACGCGTCAAGGGAAAAACCTAGGAAGACACAGGGAAGGATGTGGACAGTGAGCTTGTCCGTGCCGGAGGCACAAACGTGAGCAAGGCAGCCCAAGACGTGGAACGCAGACGCGTCACCAGGAGACCCGGTCCAAAGACGGGTCGGCGAAACCTGCGGCCGCTGAGGGGAGCAGCGTAGCGCACGGCGAACGGCCACAGAAAATAGGGAGCACCGGCATGGATCATGGAGGTGCGAGCAACCTCCATGAGCAAGCTGATGCGTCGCTCAGCGACACCATTCTGCTGTGGGGAGTCCGGCAGGGTGAACGTCTGGGTGATGCCCTCCGCACGACAGAAGCGACCAAGGACACCGGAGGCAAACTCACCACCACGGTCTGAGTGAAGGCGCAAGACAGGGAGACCTCGGTGGACACGCGCAGAGACAAGCCAGGGGATGAGAGCGTCAGGCACGTCGGCCTTCCGCTCCAGGGGAAAGACTGTGGTGTAGCGAGTGAAGTTGTCGACAAGCACAAGGAAGTAGTGCTCGCGACGCGGCCCATGGATGGGGGCGGGGCCCCAGACGTTCATGTGCAAAGTCTGCAGTGGCGCAGCGGTAGGGGGAAACGAGGAGTGGGGGGCACGGCGAAGCCGACCCTCGACATAAGGAGTGCAAGGCGGGGCGGGGGAGGAGGGAAAAGGGGGAAGGGAACCAGGGAGACCAAGGACGAGACTGTGCTGGGACATGTAACGCAGACGCGTGAGCGCAGGGTGACCTAGACGGTGGTGCCAAAGGAGAGTCGGGTGACTGAGAGACCGACAGGAGCAGGCAGCAGCAACCTAGGAAGACGCAGCCACCTGGGGGGGCGCCCCAGCCGGGGGGGTCACGGTGTCCAGGGTGAACAGGCCGGACACCGGGTCCCGGGGGAACGTGGGCAGAGGGGCACCTGTGGCAGCCTTGGTACAGACAGCATACCGCTCGTGACCAAGGAACGTAGTGGTGACGCCAAGGTCCTGGAGGCAGCCGACACCAACTAGGTTCCTGGAGAACGAGGGGATATGCAGACCTGTGAGAGAGCCCGAAGGAACTGCCGGACAGGGAAGGATGGTGGAACTGCGGGCGACTACCGGACCGCTGGAGGGGTCAGCAAGAGAAACAGCGGCAGGAACAGGATGCGGCATCAGTGTAGTGAAGTCGCGGAAGAAGCACCGGGAAGCGCCAGAGTCCAAGATGAAGGAAAGCGAAGCAGTGGTGTCCGGCGACGGGGCGACGGAGGAGGCACCAAGGCTAAACAAAGCAGGGGCTCCTACGTCTGACGCAGCGGGGGAGGCTAAGCTAGACATACCTACACTAGACGACAAGGAGTAATAAGCGGGAAGCACACTAGAGTCATCAGCATACATCACATGCAGAGCAGAAACAATGGCATCCATGTCTAAGTCAAAAATCGGAATACGACGACTAAGCAAACGGTGCCAGTCCGGGAGGTCTGGCGACGGGCCAAAGCGCTGACGGAACAGGTCGTCCAGGCGACAAAAGCAGCGAGGAGTGGTATGACCGGTCTAACCGCAAACGAAGCCGCGGCGAGGACCGGTCTGGATCTGGTACTGGCAACGCACACCTCCCGAACCACCACCCAGTACACCACCACGCGCACGACCACCTCCAGCTCCAGGCCACCCAGGCGGGAGGACACTCGTCTGCCTCGTCTGCGGCGGCTGCAGCGGCTGCTGCGACGGCTGCTGCTGCTGCTGCGACTGTGGAGGCGGCTGCTTAGCTGGACCGGGCAGGGTCCCCTCGTCCGCTCCAGCACCAGACGACCCGACTCCACCACCACCCCCACCTGCACCCCCTCCTCCGCCGCCGCGCCCAGCCTTGGGGCGGCGGCCCTTCCCCGGACGGAACGGCACGGCAGCAGCAGTCTCAGCCACAGCGGCCGAACCGTCGGAGAAGGTACACTGAGCAGGGGCACAACCCTGAAAGATAGAGACCGGCACGGTACCGCTCGCCTGGCCGATGGAGCGGTGGCGGGTCTCTATAACAGTCAGGGTGTCTACAAAGTCGGTGAGGGTGAGCTCACCGGGGTGGATACTAAGGAAGCGGTCGCGGGCGGCGGCAAGGCGGTCAAGGAGGCGGGTGGCAAGCAGGTAGAGGGTAGAGGTAATGGGCGGCTGGTGGGCTCTAAGCTGTGCGTCAGTGCAGGCAGCGCGCCAGGTCTCATCTATCGTGCGCAGGTGGGCAGCCAGGTCAGCGACAGTGGGGAAGGACGCAAGATCAGGAAAGAGCAGCGGGAGGATCAGGCGACCCACCGAGGCAGCAGGAGGGGTGGAATAGCGCTTGAGGACAGCATCTAAGTAAGCCTGAGCGGTAGTAATGGACCTAAAGCGAGGGCGCTCAGACGGGGGAAGGGCATTGCTAATGGCAAGCTGGGCGACAGCGTCTCGGGAAAGCCAGACAGAGCGGGCAAGGGCAGCGGCTGCAGCGGACTCGCGCTCAGCGGGTGTGGGGTCAGCGGGCAGCACAGCAGGGGGATCTGGGCAGGGGAGCATACCGTCAAGGTGTGAAGAAAGTGGGTGGCCATCCTGCCGCTGGCCAGTGAGGTGGCGACGGAGGTCGGCGAGCCACGCCTCGAACTCCAGAGGCTGGCCTTCAGCGTCGAAGCGAAGCTCCGCCGCCATCAGGAGCAGTGTAGGACCGGACAGTGCGGTGCAAGGCGGTGCAGCGCGGTGCAGGGCAGTGCAGGGCGGTGCAGCGCGGTACCGTGCGGTGCAGTGCAGTGCAGGGCGGTGCAGTGCGGTGCAGGGCGGTGCAGTGCGGTGCAGTGCGGTACCGTGCGGTGCAGGTGAGGGGAAACCGTACCAGGAAGGGTGTAGGGGCCGGCTGGGATGGGCGCGGGCCGGCTGGGACGCGCAGGGGCCGGCTGGGACGGGCGCGGGTCGGCTGGGACGGGCGCAGATCCAGCTGGGAGGCGCGCGGGCCGGCGGGGACGGGCGCTGGTCGGCTGGGACGGGCGCGAGGCCGGCTGGGAGGCACGCGGGCCGGCTGGGACAGGCGCGGGCCGGCTGGGACGGGTGCACGGGCCGAGCGAGCAGGGCGCGGAGGTCGCGAGGTCGGCCGTGGGGCCGGCTGGGACGGGCGCAGGGGCCGAGGAGGAGGAGGGCAGGGGCCCCTAGGGTAGCACGGGGGCCGCTAGGGCAGGCGCTGGGGCCGTCACGAGGGGCCACTAGGGCGGGCGCTAGGGCGGGCACGAGGGGCCGCCAGGGCGGGAGCGACGGAGCCAGCTAGGGCGGGCGCGACGAGGCCAGCTAGGGCGGGCGCGACGGGGCCAGCTAGGGCGGGCGCGACGAAGCCAGCTTGGGCGGGCGCGACGGGGCCAGCTAGGGCGGGCGCGACGGGGCCAGCTAGGGCGGGCGCGACGGGGCCAGCTAGGGCGGGCGTGACGGGGCCAGCTAGGGCGGGCGCGACGGGGCCAGCTAAGGCGGGCGCGACAGGGCCAGCTAGGGCGGGCGCGACGGGGCCGTTAGGGCGGGCGCGACGGGGCCGCTAGGGCGGGCGCTAGGGCGGGCACAAGGGGCCGCTAGGGCGGGGCGCGAGGCCGGCTAGGAGGTGGCGCGCAGGGCGGGCGCGACTAGGGCGCGGCTAGGGCGCGACTCGGGTGGGCGCGACTAGGGTGGGTAGGTCCGACAGCGGAAGCGTGGGTGAGCGGGACCTACCTACTGCTGATACCATCTTAGAAACTGAATCGAATAACTAGAGAGAGAGAATACAGTCTATGCAAACATAACAGATATACATTGTTTGACAATTGGCCCTTAGCCAAAATCAGAGCGCGATGCTTGCGAGGGGCTTTGTGAGGGCGGTTACCGGCCCTTCACCAAAATTGAAGGCCAGTGCGTAATGGGGGCTATGTGAGGGAGCCGACTGGCCCTTCACAAAAATCACTTCCCACTTTGTGCAGGGTGCGAGTGTGAGGGGCCGATTGGCCCTTGAAAAAAAATACCGATGTTTGCTGGGGGTTGTGTGTGTGAGGGCGCCCATTGGCCCTTCACGAAATAGCCACGTGGATGGCGCGATTTCCCTCCCTCCCTGCAATTTTACTTTGCCTGCCCCCCAATTCCTTTCCGCTCGCCCCATTAGCGCTGGCGCGGGGCCGGGTCGAGGGTGACGCGAAATTCTGTGTGCAGCCAGCACACAGTTAGCAAGAGAACGCAAGAAGATAAAGCCCCTGGATTAGGTAAGGGAAGGAGAAAATAGACATACAGAACACCAGTTTTAAAATCAGCGCAAAAATTTATGGTAACTCTGAATAATCAGACAAAAAATCTCTTGTTACTCTGATTTTTCAGACTTTTTTTAAGGGGAGACTCTGATGGCCATACCAAAGGATGACAAGCAAGTCTGATGAATCAGACACCCCCAAAACCAATTTGGGGGCCTGCTCGCGTACCCGATACGACTTTCCTCGAGTGTAGTGTTACGCTTCAGAAACGCTCAAGTCTTCGAGGTATTTCCAACAGCCTTCAATGCCTATCAATGTAAAAATGTAAGAATGCGATAAGCAATTTTATACCCACAAACATATCCACCGATTTTTTATACCCACCGAGTTTATGTCACGCCTTCAACATATTCTCCTCTTCACTCTGCTACGCAAAAATAAAGGATCGTGATCAGCTCCAACCAAAGAATCAATGGATCTGCCCGCTTTGCTTGTGATGACCCCAGACTTCCATGTCAAAATCCCATGTGGCGCCCCATCAGTTTCTGCAGTGGGCTGGCCACACCTGGGGCAGGCACTATCTGGGACAGGTGTTGTTCAGCGCAGTCAAACATCTGTACTTCACAAACCCACAGAAGCGCACTCTCCTCCCATGCTCCTTGCAGGGGCTAGCTGTCAGTCGCACTACTGCACATGGCTTCACTTAACGCCCCCATGTGTCGCTCTGTCAGTTGCCAATATGTCCGTCTGCCCTCCCCGCTTCACACACCCATGTGTCGCTCTGTCAGTTTCTGCAACGGGTTGGCCACTTGGGCAGGCACTATCTGGGGAAGGCGCTGGTCAGAACGCTCAAACATCTGTACCTCTACAAACCCACAGAAACTCACTCTCCTCCCATGCCCCTTGCCAGGACTTGCTACCACACAGCCACCACCACCACTGCTGCTGCTGCTGCTGTTGCCTCTCGCGTTTCTGCAGCCACTGCTGCAGCTGCTGCTGCTGGTAGTGGTTCTGGTGCTGGTGGTGGTGTTAGAAATGCCCATCTCTTTGGGACTTCCAGTGACACAGCTGCTGCTGCGTTTGTGTTTCAAAGCACTGCGGATTGGAGTGGAGGGGGCAGCAGGAGAAGCCACCCCTTCTGCTGCGGCGCTTGTCTGCTTTATGAGTCGTCTAGAAATAGGAGTGGAGGGAGAAGCTACCACTTCAGCTCCAGCGTCGCCAGGGAGGGCAAGTGGGGTGGGCGGGCCTTTGCGCGAGGACCAGCTCTTTGGGAACGCCATGGAGGCATGTGGGGCAAGAGGCACAGGGAGTGCGACTATACCAAGATCCACAACCGAAGTAGCGTTTGCAGCTTTAGGAAGGCATGCATCAGCAGAGGGATGTGCATCGGTACAAGGGCAAGTGTCGGCAGGAGTGCGGGCGTCTGCACAAGGGACAGAGAAGGACCGAGGGGAGAGGAGAGGGACCTGAGGGCGTGGGGAGAGTGGAACAGAGGAGGACGTGGGGAGGTGGGGAGGACGGCGGTTAGGGCAAGGAGGGGGCTTGTGATCGGGAGCTGAGGGGGATGGAGGGGGTTTGAGACTGGGAGCGGCAGGAGAGGGAGGGAGCCGGAGATTGGACGCAGAGGGCACACGTCTTAAACCACGTCTTAAACCAGAGGACGAGGAGCCTTCTAGGAGAGGACTCTCGGTTGTTGCTGCACTTGTGATGGCGATGGGGATGCTGCTGCTGCTGCTGCTGCCGCCCCATCGGCTGCCTCTGCCCTTTCCCCCAGGGCTTGCGGGGATGGAGAGGGGAGCAACGACGGGGATGGTTGAGGTGGAATAAGGGAGGGCGGCTGGAAGGGAGGCGAGAGGAATCGACTCATGCGGACGGGAAACGCCAGGGCTGATACCAGCAACAGCCATCGTGGCACGCATCCCAACAGGCATTGCAATCGGGATCGCAATAGGGATGGCACCAGGAATGGCAGCGGTGGGACCACCAGCAGCAGAAGAGGAGGAAGAGAGAGAAGCCGGTGCTTCTGCTGGATCAATCCTCGAGGGTGCATGGCTGCTGCGAGTGTGGTTTAAGGAGCACCATGAGGAGGACTGAGTGCTGGCACTTAAGGAGCGATCAAAGTGCCGGGAGCGGGAGTCAAACACTGCGGGTGTGCGGTGAGGCGAGACGAGAGTGGACACCGCATTTCCCGTTGAGCAGATTTGATTGGCCGATGCAAAGAGCTCGTGCGAAGCGGCCATGATTTCACGGCCGGATGAGCGCCCCTCGTTGGCTGATGATGAGCGCTGGGCACGGCGGGGAGAAAAGAGAGGCGAGGAGCGAGGCGAGGCAAGCTGGCTCGCCGACGCAAAGACTTCATGTGACGAGGCAAAGATCTCCCGGCTGGAGGGGCGTCCCTCATTGGCTGACGACGAGCGCTGGGCGCGGCGCGGACGGGGGAGGGGAGGGCTGGAGGCTGGGGGAGGGCGAGGGGTAAGGCGGGAAGGAGAGGCAGGAGTGGGGGAGAATGGAGGGCGAGGGGAGGAGGAAGAATGGAGGGGAGGACTGGAGGAAAGTGGGGGCCGAGGGGAGGAGGAGGAATGGAAAGGGGGGCTGGAGGATGGGGAGAGACGGGGGCTGCAGGAGGGATGTGGTCTGTAAGGCTTGTGAGGTGACGTGGAATGGCGTGCTGCTGTCCGTTGCTGCATTTGCTTCTCCTCTTCCTCTTCCTTCTCCAACTCCTGCTGCTGCTGCTGCTGCTGCTTCACCAGAAGCAGATCCAAACTTGGGCCGACCTCACCCATTGGTACAGTGGCCGCTAGAACGACACTGTCATCGCTACCATCACTGTCACTGCTATCCTCGCTATGAACTTCATCAGCACAAGCAACACCGTGATCAGCAGCACCAGCAGCACCAACAGCAGCACCAACAGAAGCAGCAGCAGCAGCAGCAGCAGCAGTGGTTGTGGTAGTGGTATCAGGAAGAGAAGAAAGACTCATCTCACGTGGCAAACAGTGCGTGTCCCCGTCAACCCAACATCCTGACCTCCCCCCCCTTTCCCCATCGGTACGACCCCTTACCTTCCTCTTCCCTGACCTTTCCTCTGCCCGCGGCACGGCGAATGTACCCCCAAAACGGCTTACTAAGCCGTCTGTTGCCGCTGTACCCGCTCCACTGGTAAGGGGAACGTTAAGGGGACATGAGGGCCCCTCTGGAACGTGCCAGGTGTTGAGGCACGGATCAGAATCCGCCCTCACACGCTGACGATATCGGACACTCATAATCCTGCTGCTGCCACCGCTGCCGCTGCTGCTGCCACTGCTGCCACTGCCACTGCCGCTGCCACTGCTGCCGCCACCACTGCCGCTGCCACTGCTGCCGCTGCCGCTGCCGCTGCCGCTGCCGCTGCCGCTGCCGCTGCCACTGCTGCCGCTGCCGCCGTTGCCACTGCTGTCGTTGCCACTGCTGCCACTGCCGCTGCTGCTGCTGCTGCTGCTGCTGCTGCTGCTGCTGCTGCTGCTCGCACTGATGTTGCTGCACAGACGTGAGTCCTCCCGCCTGCTCCCACTCCTCCCCACCCCTCCTCCTCCTGCCCATTTGTCTGCACTCCCCTCCACTTCGTCACATCCTCTTCCTGGTCCTTCTCCTTCCGTCCCTCGACCTCCCCCTGACGCCCATCGGTGCCTGCGTGTTGCGCCGCACTCTGCTGCTTCTGGCCCGATCTGCTTTCCCACTTCTTCTGCTGCTGCTGCTGCTGCTTCTGCTGCGTGCTGAATCTCTCCTTCTCCGTTCAGCCGCACAGCGAGGGTTTGTTGGAAGGAGGAGCGGAGGGGGTAGCTGAAGCGACGCGCGAAACCGCTCGAGCAGGGAGACCGAGGCGAACCCCCTGATACTGCTGCTGCTGGTACTGGCAATGGTGGTGCCACTGGTGGTGCTGTAAGTGGTGCTTCTGGCCCATGCTGCTTTTCCTCTCCTGCTGCCATCGAAATTTCTCTTTCTCCGTTAAGGGGAACCACGATGGTTTGTTGGAAGGAGGAGCGGAGAGGGTAGCTGAAGCGACGCGCGAAACCGCTTGAGGGGGGAAGATACTGCGTTGGCACAGCTAACACCGAAGAAGCTGATCCTGCTGCTGGTGGTACTGGCAATGCTGGTGCCACCGGTGGTGGTGCTATTAGTTCTGATGAAGCAGCAGCTGCTGCTGCTGCTGCTGGTTCTGCCCCTGCTGCTTTCACTCCAGCGGTGGAAGTGGTAGTAGACGTTCTGCGTGATTCCCTGCCTACTGCAGTCACTAGCGCTGATCCGAGCACCGAAGCCCCTACACCTTCTGCTGCCCCACCCATTTTTTCATGCTTTTGCGTCGACTCAATAGCAGACCCTGATCCAAGCACCGAAGTCCCTACACCTTCTGCTGCTCCAACTCTCAACTCCTCATGGCAATCCTTCCGTGGCGAGGAGTCGTCAAACAAGGATGCGCTGATTTCGAACACGGTGTGCCGCCGCTGATGCCCGTACACTGCTATCGCCCTCTTCCTTCCACTGCCACTGCCACTGCCACTGCTGCCACTCACAATGCTGCTGCCACTTGCAATGCTGCTGCCACATTTACTGCGGCCTGTAACACTGCTGCTACTGTTACCACTGCCACGATCATCATTCCTGCCATCCGTAACACCAACACCACAAGCACCACCATCACCCCCATCGCTACCACCGCCACCACTGCTGCCGCTAAAGTTGCTGCTGCGACCGACATACCGACTACCAGTGGCACTACAACCACCACCATCATCACCCCCACCACCACCACCGCCACCACCACCACCGCTGCCTGCAAAACTACTACTTGCACCCTCTCCCTTGGCCCAATCCTCCGCAACATCCCCTTTACCCAATCCACTACAAACAGCGTTGATGAGAGCACGGCTCTTCCCATCCCCTTCCAGCTCGGCGCTCCTGCGGCTCATATTCTGTGACACCTCTAGCCTCAACTCAGCTCTCCTGCAACTCGGAACCTGAGACGCCTCTAGCCTCAACTCGGCTCTCCTGCAACTCGGAACCTGAGACGTGTCAAGAGCCAGCTCAGCGCCCATGCGGCTGGGAAGAGCCTGTTTTTGAGAGATAGCTAGGCCTTGAGACTCAAAAGCAGTCTCAAGACCCAGCTGAGCGCCCCTGCGGATGGGAAGAGTTTCTTCAAAGAAAGAGGCGCTGATTTCGCACATGGTGTGCCGCCGCTGATGCCCGTACACTGCTATCGCCCTCTTCCTTCCGCCGCTGCTGCTGCCACTGCCACTGCCACTAGCGCTGCTGACGTTGCTGCTGCCACCACCACCACCACCAGCATCACCACGACCACAAATCTCTTCCTCTCCCTCCTTCTGCTCCTTCTGCTCCTTCTCCCCCTTCTTATCCTGCCTCTCCCTGGGTATGTGTACCCCGTTCCTCTGCTCTCTAAATGCCCCCCTATCCAACCCAAAGTACCTATCCCTCTCCCTCTCTTTCGCCCTCAACACCCCCCCTCTTGGACTGACGCTCGCCCTACTCTCCCCATTGCAACCCCCACCGACACTTATTGGGCTCTTAAACCTGGGGCTACTCACACGCAGGACGCGAGGACTAAGTCCTAAACTCCCAACAGAAACAGCATCCCCGTTATAGCCACATATGCCCCCAACGCTGGCAGTGGCACCTCCAGCGTTTCTATCCCCATCCTCCCTAGGTCCTCCTCCTCCCTCTCCCCCTCCTCCCCCGGTTTCCCCCTCCATTTCTCCCCATGTCCTCCCCCCTCTCCCAACAACCCCCCCATGGTGCTGTGGCTGCGCCTGTGCGCGCCTGGTCCCCTCTCAGTGAAGCTTCTTGCCTTGGAGCCTAATAAACTGGGTCCCACTCCTACCCCAGACTCTCTGCTGCTGCTGCTGTCAACGTCGGCACCACCGCTGCCACTGCTGCCGCTGGCACCACCGCTGCCACTGCTGCTGCTGGCACCACCGCAGCTGCGGCTACTGGCACCACCGCAGCTGCTGCTGCTGCCCCACAATCCCCCATGGTGCTGTGGCTGCGCCTGTGCGCGCCTGGCCCCCTCTCAGTGAGGCTTCTGGCCTTGGAGCCTAATAAACTGGGTCCCACTCCTACCCCAGACTCTCTGCTGCTGCTGCTGCAGCGGTCACCCCCGCTGCTGCTACGATCATTACCACTGCCGCTGCTGCTGCCACCACGGCTGCTGCTGCTGTGGCAACGGGAGCTGCCGCCAATGCCTCTGCTTTCGCTGCGTATTCCGCTGCTGCTGCTGCTGCTGCTGGTACACCCACTGCTGATTTCAACAATGCTGGCTGTAGTGCTGTGGTTTTCGCTGCTTGTACCACTGCTGTCAGGAATCGACGGCCAGGATCCTTGGAGAGACGCACCAACGCCCAGACCTGTGGTCCAAACCACGTCTACAGGTTCGGCCAAAACCGCCTCGCCCGAGTCTGTCCGCTCCAGTTCTGCCAGTGCCAAGCCTGACGCCAAACGCGCCACCGAGCCCGCCACCGAGCCTGCCACCGAGCCTGCCGCCGAGCCTGACACCGAGCTTGACACCAAGCCTCGTTTCCCCAGCCCTAACTCGTGCACGCCCCCCACGCTCGCGCTGAAGCGCCTATGCCCGCGCAGCCGCCTTGGGGGGGTTTCCCCTCTGGGAGAGGCGGATTCCTGGCGGGGGCGACCTTCCCCCAGGGGTTGCGCGAGGGGGGAGCGCGGGCGGGGAGATGAAAGCGCCACTCCACGGAAGCGCGCCTGAGGAGAGCGCGGGGGCGGAGACCGCGGGGGAGGGGAGCGGGGGGAACGATGGGGGGGTCGGGGCGTAGAGGGAGCCGCGGAAGGGGAGAGAGGGGGAATGGGGGGTGACGATACCCGCGGTTCAAGAGACGAATCGACTTGAAGAACAGACCATGGAGAGGGGCACTGCTCAGGCTGCTGCTGCTGCTGCTGCTGCTGCTGCTGCTGATGCGGCTGCTGCTGCTGATGATGATGCTGCTGCTGATGCTGCTGCTGATGCTGCTGCTGCTGGTGGTACGCGGAAGGGGAGAGGTCCATGCTCATAGAACCGCGCTGAAGTTGCTGCTGAAGTTGCTGCTGCCGATGATGAGTAGTGTTATGTTGCTGCCGCTGCTCCTGCCGCTGCTCCTGCCGCTGCTCCTGCTGCTGCTCCTGCTGCTGCTGCTGCTGCTGCTGCTGCTCAAAGTCGAATGCTGACTCGCTACCGAACGGTGCGTCGCCGAACCTCTGCGACATCATGAACTCCGAGCATCCCTCTACAGGAACGCTCTGGCTACCAACAAAACCGCGGCGATCCGTAACGGGTTGCCTGGGAGAAACGGGTGCTCCGAAGACTACTCGCGCTCCAGTCATGGGGTGGGAAATATTTTTGAGGCACCTAAAAAATGGGAAATATTTTTTAGGCACCTCAAAAATGGGAAATATTGCACAGAATGGGAAATTATAAATGGTAATGGTAAGTCGCGCTTCCTCTAATTTTTTAGTCGACTCAAAAGTCAGCTCTTCCTCTGATGCTAAGAAATGGAAAGTCGCGCTGGAGACATTCACAGGTCGTCGCCGACGCGTCCGTTTCTCCTGAGACGAAATGCCGCTTTAATTAAGTTCAGTAGGGTTCCCCGAGAGAGGTTAGGGCGCCGATCATATACGCTCTGCAGAGCTCTTCCTGTGGGAATGACAGTCGAGCGTGTCTAATCTCGCGCGATAAATTAACTCCAAAAGCAGCATCACGACGCGAGCGAGGCGGGGGACTAGCAAGGTAGCTTTTAAAAACTTCAGCGAAGAAAGGAAGAGAGATAAACGACTCTGAGCCACCGTAATTCTTTAGAACATGTCAGTATCACGTTGTCGCGTCACAAAAATGTGGATCTCTCCTATATTGTAGGTATAGTTGTTCGTATAGCAAGTCTACTCCGTAGCAGACGTACCTATGCCGTACCTACTGTATACCTACTCCGTATTTCTGATCCTGGTATTTTGGGATGCGTGGGGCAACGACACGCATTCTGACAGTTCACCCACCAGCCAAACGCTCTCTACCTTGCCCGCACAATTCGCACCCCAGGCCAACGAGCCTCTACACGACGAGAAGCCCCTAATACTTATTTAGCGACGGATGTGACAGAGCTAGAATGTCCGAACGAAACTCTCCTAGGTGTTTATCTGTTTATGGGTGGTGCCAGCCGCTCGAGCAAAAACTTAGGCAATCTTGGCAGTATGCTGTATTACTCCACCGACCAATCAACCAAATAGGTTTGGGACGGGTTACCCAATTCTACGCCTGATTGCGGTGCAGCGAGTTCCGCTGCGTTTAAAAGCTTTAAGAGACCAAAACAGAATGGTTGGGTAGGGTATTGGGGGGAAATGTGTGTATGAAAAGCTTCTGAGATGTAATCAAATCGATTGTCGGTGCTGCATATTTGGATGTCGGTGCTGTATGGTATCGAACGGTGCTGTAATATTTTTCTGCTCTCCGACCAAAGATTTCGTTTAACAATTTGTGTAACCATGTTCGCTCTCTCTCGCATGCCACCCACAACCACAAGATTCGCCCACTTCCTTCTGACCTCAGAATTGCCACGAGGGTGACATCCCAAGAAGCTGATTGGATAAACCTAGTACCGATGCAATACCAGCCGTCGATGCAACACCAGGAGAACATCGAGAGACAGCCTGCCGTCCAAGTCCTAACCACGTGGCTATCCCACCTTACCTCCTAGCCACAAACCACATTCCCAAGGGTGGCAGGCAGGCAAGGCGGCTTTATTTTCCTTACCATTCTGTAAATTTCCATTCCCGCCATGACCATTTTCGACCAATCCTGTCCCGCGGCCGTAGCTCCCCCCCCGGGATCCCCGCCGTCCCCTTGTTCTCGGTGGAAGTACATAGTTTTCGGGGACTGCGTGTGCTCGGCGCGCGACGCCGCATCGCTCTACTTAGGCCTTTTTAGCATCGCGTGTTGGGCGGTCGCCGAGGTGCCGCAGGTGATCGCCAACTGCCAGGCGTCGCGCAGCGGCGCGGAGCTGGAGGAGGTGCCTCTCGCGCTGGTGCTGACGTGGATCGTGGGGTGAGTGGCGCGATTCGTAGGGTAAATTCTAAGTCTACCAAGGGGCAGTGACGTCTGTGGTTAACGTGTACTGGGTTGTCTGTTCAGCGTCGCGTGCTGGGGGTGGCGGTGGTGCCTTTTGAGACGTCTTAGAACGCAGAGGTGCCTATGAGACGCCTTAAAACGCGGAGGTGCCGCAGATGATCGCCACGCCAACTGCCAGGCGTCGTGCAGCGGCGCGGAGCTGGAAGAGGTGCCTCTCGCGCTGGTGCTGACGTGGATCGTGGGGTGAGTGTGTAGTGCTGACGTGGATCGTGGGCTGACTGATTCTAGGGCAAGCAGTGATTTCCACGTCTACCCAAGAAATGTGGGCTATGACGTTGAAATGTACCGAGTTAGTAAGGTGCGCGACGTGAAATGCGAGTCAGAATGACGTGTACGGAAGAAGGAAGCTAGGAATTTCAAACCTCTACAGCAACCGAGCCCTTTTTACTGCTCCCCATCCCTTGCGCTCCCCATCCCTTTCTCGCCCTCCAGAGATGTCTTTAATCTCCTCGGCTGCCTCCTAGACCCTGTCACGGTGCGTGCGTTTTCATTCTTTCTCAGCTAAACACTCTTTTTTTCTCTTCCTGGCTAAGTGTTCATCCCTCCATCGCCCCAACCCACTGATTCGCATTTTGTTGCGATCATCCCCATTTCCTCTAATTCCGTTTGCTCTCTCTTTTTTTTTTCCCCACCCTTCGTTCTTCTAAGTGTTCCCTCCTCCTCCACCTGTCATCTTTTCCGTGTCCACCATCCCGCCTCCTTTTGAGTCGACTCAAAAGCCACCTGTCATCTTTTCCATGTCCACCATCCCGCCTCCTTTTGAGTCGACTCAAAAGCCACCTGTCATCTTTTCCATGTCCACCATCCCGCCTCCTTTTGAGTCGACTCAAAAGCCACCTGTCATCTTTTCCATGTCCACCATCCCGCCTCCTTTTGAGTCGACTCAAAAGCCACCTGTCATCTTTTCCATGTCCACCATCCCGCCTCCTTTGAGTCGACTCAAAAGCCACCTGTCATCTTTTCCATGTCCACCATCCCGCCTCCTTTTGAGTCGACTCAAAAGCCACCTGTCATCTTTTCCATGTCCACCATCCCGCCTCCTTTTGAGTCGACTCAAAAGCCACCTGTCATCTTTTCCATGTCCACCATCCCGCCTCCTTTTTGAGTCGACTCAAAAGCCACCTGTCATCTTTTCCGTGTCCACCATCCCGTCTCCCGGCTCATTTTGTCCCAAACGTCCTCGCCCCCCCCCCCCCCCTCCCCTCTCCCTCCCCCTTTTTCTCCCTTTCCGCCTCCCTCACTTCTCCGTGTTATGCCTGCAGCTTCCAACTCAGCTTTTCACTGCAATTGTAAGTCCTTCCCTGGGGGTTGCCCATACCTAGATTTTCTTGATTTCCTTCTTGGCGGCGATTGGACAGCATTTCTTCCCCCTCATTTCCTTCCTCAACCTCCTCATTTCTCCTTCCCCCCCCCCCCCACCCTTTCCTCCCTTCCCCACCGTCAACCCCCCTCTCCCTCCCTCCCACGTCGTTCCGTCACAGCTCTACACAAGCACCACTCTTGTTCTAGTCCTGCAGCACGTGCTGTCTGCGTGCACCAGAAAAGGGAGGCGGGGCAGGAAAAGCCCCGCTTATAGGAACACTCCTTCCCTTCCTCTCGCCCTCCCTCCCCCCTTCCGTCGCAGGTCTCTACAAGCACTGCCGTCGTTCTAGTGCTGCAGCACGTGCTGTCTGCGTGCACCAGAAAGGGGAGGCGGGGCAGGAAAAGCCAGCAGACAGCACGTGCTGTCTGCATGCACCAGAAAGGGGAGGCGGGGCAGGAAAAGCCAGCAGACAGCACGTGCTGTCTGCATGCACCAGAAAGGGGAGGCGGGGCAGGAAAAGCCAGCAGACAGCACGTGCTGTCTGCATGCACCAGAAAGGGGAGGCGGGGCAGGAAAAGCCAGCAGACAGCACGTGCTGTCTGCATGCACCAGAAAGGGGAGGCGGGGCAGGAAAAGCCAGCAGACAGCACGTGCTGTCTGCATGCACCAGAAAGGGGAGGCGGGGCAGGAAAAGCCAGCAGACAGCACGTGCTGTCTGCATGCACCAGAAAGGGGAGGCGGGGTAGGAAAAGCCAGCAGACAGCACGTGCTGTCTGCATGCTCGTCACTCATTCCCTCCTTTCTCCCTCCTCCTCCCCCATTCCATCTCAGCCCTACACGAGCACCACTCAGGTTCTAGTGCTGCAGCACGTGCTGTCAGCCTTGTCTCAGGCCCTTCGTTCCTCCCTCTCGCGTCCCCCTTCCCACACGCACCCCATTCCTTCCATCTCAGCTCTACACGAGCACCACTCTCGCTCTAGTGCCACCGCACGTTCTGGCAGCGTGCACCAGCAACTCTTCCCTTTCCTCCCCTCCCCTGAGCACCTTTCACACGCCCTCCCTCCCCCATTCCGTCGCAGCTCTACACGAGCACCACTCTCGCTCTAGTGCCACCGCACGTTCTGGCAGCGTGCACCAGCAACTCTTCCCTTTCCTCCCCTCCCCTGAGCACCTTTCACACGCCCTCCCTCCCCCATTCCGTCGCAGCTCTACACGAGCACCACTCTCGCTCTAGTGCCACCGCACGTTCTGGCAGCGTGCACCAGCAACTCTTCCCTTTCCTCCCCTCCCCTGAGCACCTTTCACACGCCCTCCCTCCCCCATTCCGTCGCAGCTCTACACGAGCACCACTCTCGCTCTAGTGCCACCGCACGTTCTGGCAGCGTGCACCAGCAACTCTTCCCTTTCCTCCCCTCCCCTGAGCACCTTTCACACGCCCTCCCTCCCCCATTCCGTCGCAGCTCTACACGAGCACCACTCTCGCTCTAGTGCCACCGCACGTTCTGGCAGCGTGCACCAGCAACTCTTCCCTTTCCTCCCCTCCCCTGAGCACCTTTCACACGCCCTCCCTCCCCCATTCCGTCGCAGCTCTACACGAGCACCACTCTCGCTCTAGTGCCACCGCACGTTCTGGCAGCGTGCACCAGCAACTCTTCCCTTTCCTCCCCTCCCCTGAGCACCTTTCACACGCCCTCCCTCCCCCATTCCGTCGCAGCTCTACACGAGCACCACTCTCGCTCTAGTGCCACCGCACGTTCTGGCAGCGTGCACCAGCAACTCTTCCCTTTCCTCCCCTCCCCTGAGCACCTTTCACACGCCCTCCCTCCCCCATTCCGTCGCAGCTCTACACGAGCACCACTCTCGCTCTAGTGCCACCGCACGTTCTGGCAGCGTGCACCAGCAACTCTTCCCTTTCCTCCCCTCCCCTGAGCACCTTTCACACGCCCTCCCTCCCCCATTCCGTCGCAGCTCTACACGAGCACCACTCTCGCTCTAGTGCCACCGCACGTTCTGGCAGCGTGCACCAGCAACTCTTCCCTTTCCTCCCCTCCCCTGAGCACCTTTCACACGCCCTCCCTCCCCCATTCCGTCGCAGCTCTACACGAGCACCACTCTCGCTCTAGTGCCACCGCACGTTCTGGCAGCGTGCACCAGCAACTCTTCCCTTTCCTCCCCTCCCCTGAGCACCTTTCACACGCCCTCCCTCCCCCATTCCGTCGCAGCTCTACACGAGCACCACTCTCGTTCTAGTGCTGCAGCACGTGCTGTCTGCATGCACCAGAAAGGGGAGGCGCGGCAGGAGACACTCCTCTTACATGAACATCCCTCCACGCCCTCTCTCCCACTCGCCTCTCCCTCCCACTTCTCCCATCTCTCCCCTTCCCATTCCGTCGCAGCTCTATACGAGCACAACCCTGGTTCTAGTGCTGCAGCACGTGCTGTCTGCGTGCACCAGAAAGGGGAGGCGCGGCAGGAAAAACACCGCTTATAGGAACAGCCGGCTACTAGAAGGCCCATCAGGGGAAACAACCGCAGCTGCTGATGACTTTGAGGAGGGTTGCGATGCTTCTAATGGGCTGTACCACGCGATCATAGATGAGGTGAGTGGGGGAGGTTACTGCTACTAGAGGGCCCATCAGGGGAAACATCCGCAGCTGCTGATGACTTTGAGGAGGGCTGCGAGCGATGCACCCAAGGGGCTGTACCACGCGTTGATTGATGAGGTGAGTACGATTCCCCTCTAGTTTCTTCTGGTTCAGCTGAGGTCAGCACCCCCCCCGTACTGTATCGAAACACCTTCCTGCTGGAAGGTCCGTCAGGGGAGACTGCCTCAGCTGCTGCTGATGACTTTGAAGACGGCTGCGATGCCACCAACGGGCTGTACCACGCGTTGATAGATGAGGTGAGTACCTGTCGAACAAGGAGAGCGAACAAGGTGAGTGGGGGAGGCTATTGCTACTAGAGGGGCCATCAGGGGAGACTGCCTCAGCTGCTGCTGATGACTTTGAGGACGGCTGCGATGCTTCCAGCGGGCTGTACCACGCGATGATAGATGAGGTGGGTGCAGATTTCTTTCTAGGTTTCTCTCTCTCTCTCTCTCCCTCGAACCCTGCACTCTTTCCTTGAAACCGCAGCAGCTGGGGGTATGTGAGAGTGAGATACCTAAAAACCAAGCTATCACTAAACTAGGCAATTGAGTGGGTTTTTTCCTTCCCATCCCTCGTCCTTCCAGGACCCCCTCTCTCTCTCCCGGACCCTGCACCCGCTCCCTGAAGCCTCAGCAGTTGGGGGGGGGAGGAGTGAGGAGCAGCAGCCGAGGGACACGTGGCTCCAGGGGTGTGGTGGACGGCCTACTGGAAGACGGAGTGGTGATGGCGGTGCTAGTGGTGGTGCCGGCGGTGTTGGTGCCGGTGCCTGTGCTGGTAGTGGTGGTCGCGGTAGTGGTGGTGGTGCTAAGAGCAAGTCGATTCCGGTTGGCATGCCGCAACGACAGACATTTGGACAGTAAGGATGAATGGTGGTTGTAGTGGTGGTGGTAGTGGTGGTGGTAGGGATGGTTCCGTTAGTGTCCATGGTGGTATTGCCCATCTCGACCCATCCCAACCCATCTCAACGCCCCTACACCTCATCCAGGTCCTCTTGTTCTTTCACTGGCAGCAGGTGCCTTGCCTACCTGTTCCTTGTTGTCTCTGCCGTCTCACTGTCCTCCTCCTCGCTTCTTTCCAGGTTTCAACGTCCCTGTCTGTTTCAAATTTTAGGCGCCTCAAAAAGTGCCTACCTGTTCATTGTTGTTGTCTCTGCCGTCTATTTTTGAGGCGCCTCAAAAATAGACTCTGCCGTCTCACTGTCCTCCTCCTCTCGCTTCTTTCCCAAGTCCCTGTCTCTCTTTCAACTTTCTTCACTCCCTTGACTCCTCTAACTAGGCACCCTCCTCCTCTCTCCAAAGCCCCTATCCCCCTCAGGTCCTCTGGTTCCTTCTCTGGCAGCTGGCGACGCCTCACTCACTCTCTCCAGCTCCTTTGAGGCCAGCTTCCTGGCTCAACTCTTTCCCGCTATGCGTCTCTGCCTTTCCCCCAACCCCCTCAGGTCCTCTGGTTCCTTCTCTGGCAGCTGGCGACGCCTCACTCTCTCCAGCTCCTTTGGGGCCAGCTTCCCCCGCAACCCCTCCTCGCCGTCCCTTAACGCTGTGAGTGTGCCTGTCGACCTTTGTCCCTTAGATTCCGCCCTTCGTTCTGTTCAACGTTTGTTCTTCTGTTCAACCTTCGTTCTTCTGTTCAACCTTCGTTCTTCTTTTCAACCTTCGTTCTTCTTTTCAACCTTCGTTCTTCTTTTCAACCTTCGTTCTTCCTTTCAACCGTCGTTCTTCCTTTCAACCGTCGTTCTTCTTTTCAACCTTCGTTCTTCTGTTCAACCTTGCATCGTCTGTTAGCATCCCCCGCAACCCTTCCGCTCCCTGCCTGTTAGTCTTCTTAAAGCATGCAAGTCCTCTTAAAGCATGTGAGTCTTCTTAAAGCATGTGAGTCTTCTTGAAGCATGTGAGTCTTCTTAAAGCATGTGAGTCTTGTTAAGGCATGTGAGTCTTCTTAAAGCATGTGAGTCTTCTTAAAGCATGTGAGTCTTCTTAAAACATATGAGTCTTCTTAAAGCATGTGAGTCTTCTTAAAGCATGTGAGTCTTCTTAAAGCATGTGAGTCTTCTTAAAGCATGTGAGTCTTCTTAAAGCATGTGAGTCTTCTTAAAGCATGGGAGTCTTCTTAAAGCATGTGAGTCTTCTTAAAGCATGTGAGGCTTCTTAATGCATGTGAGCCTCTCCCTCCCTCAATGCATGTAGACTTGAGACGATTTGTTAGGCGCTTCAGAAAGAATTGTGAGGCGATTTGTGAGTCTTCTTAATGCAGGTGAGCTCGCGTGCTATAAGGTTTGTTTTGAGACGTCTCAAAACAGGCCTTGTATCACGCGCTTCAGAAAGAATTGTGAGGCGATTTGTGAGTCTTCTTGATGCATGTGAGTCTTCTTGATGCATGTGAGCTCTCATGCCTTGTAGTGGGCAACCCCTCCTCGTCCTTTCACAACGCCTTGAGTGTGTGTGTGTGTGTGTGTGGGTGTGTGGGTGTGTGTGTGTGTGTGCGTGTGGGTGTGTGTGTGTGTGTGGGTGTGTTTGTGTGTGTGTGGGTGTGTGTGTGTGTGTGTGTGGGTGTGTGTGTGTGTGTGTGTGGGTGGGTGGGTAGGTGGGTGTGTGTGTGTGTGTGTGTGTGTGTGTGTGTGTGGGTGTGTGTGTGTGTTTTATAGCTGTTCGTTCCTCTCGTCCTCTTGTCACCTCACCATTGCAGGTCCTTGCACTCACCCCCGTCTCAGCTCTTTTCGGCCCCTCCTCGCCTCGCCTTCACTCCACCCTTCATTTCCCAAGTCACGTTGTGTTGTGTCCTTTTCGCCTTTCTCCTCTTCTTCTTGTCACCTCACCCCTACAGGTCCCCACACTCCTGACCATCTCGGTGATTTTTGAGTCGACTCAAAAATCACCTACAGGTCCCTCCCCACACTCCTGACCATCTCAGCTGCTCTCAGCCTGTCCTCCCTTCAACCCCTCACTACTACCATCGTGCCTCACCCAAACTCTCACTCCAATCCTCCATCTATCAATTCACGCACACCACTGCAGGGGCTTGCACTCGTGACCATCTGAGCTGTCATCGGCCTCTCTTTTCTGCCAGTTCTACCCTCCCTCACATCCAGCCTGCATCTACCCCTCCCTCCTTTCCTCTCACTACTACAGGTTCTTGCACTCGTGACCATCTCAGCCGTTTTCGGCCTATCCTCGCCCTCAGCCCATCGTTCCCTGGCACCTTCTCCACCATCGTGGGGGCACACACCAAGAGCAATCCCCACCTTATCCCCCTCCTCCTCTTCCTCTTACTTCTCCTCGTCTTACATCTCCTCACATTCCTCACATTCCTCGCATTCCTCGCACACTTTCGTTTTCACCGGCGCAAGGGGCAATGGTGCAGTCAGCTCCCTTGCCTCCAAGCCAGCATCGAGAAAGCTGCTGCAGGTAAGGTAACATCAAGCTGTGAGGCGCCGCATTTTGAGGCGCCTCAAAACTCAAGCTGTGAGGCGCCTCAGACGCAAACTTCTGGGGGAAATGCAACCGGGGCATTCAGGACCGAGGCGCCTCAAATACAATCTTGTGTCGTTGCTGGCTACGCAACCAACCATAGTCCTGGGCAGACAGCTCATTTGTCTTCAGGCCAACATTGAGAAAGCTGCTGCAGGTAACGTCATGGGGAAGTGTTACGTGTGACATTGGGGGGAAAATTGCAACAGGGGTATCTAAGGGGTAACTAAGGGGTATCTAAGGGGTATCTAAGGGGTATCTAAGGGGTATCTAAGGGGTATCTAGGAAGTTATTCGGTGTGGAGACAGTCTATTCCATGTACACCTGCTGAGAAATCACTTCCATTTGGAGTCACAGCAGGTAATACTGTTGAGGAACAGTAGCACCTGCTGCTGCTGCTGCTGCTGCACATGCTGCTGCTGCTGCTGTGCCTGCTGCTGCTGTGCCTGCTGCTGCTGCTGCTGCTGCTGTACCTGCTGCTGCTGCACTTGCTGTAATCTTCTTTTCACTCTGCATACCTTCTACCTCTCTCCCTCCACTCTGCTTCCAGGTGCTGGAGCCGCAGTTGATTCTCACCACTAGCATTTCGCCACCTGTCAACTCCTCATTGGACCTCCCAGACCACCCTCGTCAATCCTCAAGTCTGAAACCAACCACCGGCACTCATCCCCAACCCACCAAACCACTAGACATTTCTTCCAAACGTCCATCCGAACCAACACCCGAGCCTCTCCCAAGCCAACAAATTCCTCCCATACCAAACCCCATCTCTCCCCGAGAACCCATCTTTCTTCAAGACCCTGACGATCCTGATTACCCCGACGACCCCGAGCATCATGAGGAAATACTCCTAAAAGCAGTGGGGCAATTCCTAGGTTGGGCCATGACCTGCATCTATTTCACAGGGCGATTACCCCCGATAATTCTGAATTGTGCCCGGGGGGCGGTTGAAGGGCTGGCGCCGCCCGCTTTTGCACTGGCGGTAGCGGGGAATCTGGCGTACCTTGGAAGTATCCTGGTTCGGTCGCTGGAGTGGAAGCAGGTTCGGCCAAACCTGCCGTGGATCACTGACAGTGCTTCGTGCCTGGCTATGGACCTCTTTGTGAGTGGCAATACAGGGTGTGCTTGTATGGGTTGTGATAATAATGCATTCTAAAAGAGCATGTAAGGCTGTACGAGATCATGACGAAGCACTTGTTGTTCGAGCGGACCAGCTCAGCCTAGGAGCAATTGTTGTGGAGATTGCTCTGCGTTATGAGGAGCGATGATGTGCACTTGTTGTGTACTACTGACCCTACATGCCCGTTTTAGCTCCCTAGCACGGAGACCATGACTCTGGACTAGGGAGTTCAAACTATAGGTAGTGACCGAGCTCAAACCTACATTGCCTCTGCTTCCCATCCCTTCCCTACAATCCCCTTCCCTTCCCTTCCCACCATCTCCTTCACTTGCCTCCCCTTTCAATCACATCCGTGCGAGAGGCTTTTCATTTTCAGAATCCATCTCCCTCCATTGGCTTCAAAACCCTCTCTCCCATCCCTTCCCTTTCCCTATCCCCCGCTCCCACCTTTCCCAACATCTCCCCTCACCTCTCTTCCCCCTCTCCGGCTCCTCTTCTGTTTTCTCCCAAAATCCGTCTTGCACCTTTTTCTTTCCACAGATAATGGCTCAGTACTGGCACTTCTCATGTAGAATCGGCCAATTAAATGACAGGGAGGATGTTGAGAGCATGAGTGCTGATGATCATGATGATCATGATGATGCCCACATGGATACTGCAGCTGACTCCGGGAAGCAATAACCTCGACATAGAGTTTTGTGGGTTTCTGTATGTACCCCTAACAGCAGTAATCTGGCTGCAGGAACTGATGTTTTGAGGCACCGGTACACGTGTACCGGTCAGGCCCCTAGATATCAGACTTTTTACGCTGATTCAGCCTTTTTTCAGGGATTTCCGTGGTAGCAAGGCTTTTTGGCTGGGCTTTTTTTGTTGGTCAATGCTGAAAAATCATCCTTTTTTTTTAACCAACATCTGATATTTCAGTGTTTTGAGTATGGTTCACTCTGTAACATCGGCGTGTGTTTTTTGGATAAGTCTGAAACCGCATACAACGTGATTCTAGGGTCCCCCGAAAATCCCGGTGTCTGATTGCATTTCCCCCGTCAATCACGCTTGTTTTGGGATGTGCTGGCCCGGCGGCCCGGCAGCAGACTTGCATATTCCCCTGTTGTCGCCAGCACACCGTGACCGGCGTAGTGTGATTGGTACTTGACCAAAATGAGCATGCCACACCCAATCTCGTACATACAGCGCACAGGACATGCTGCTCAGCTGGAGCGCCTCGACATATGATGATGGAGTACACCCCCCCCCCTCCCCTTGCCATGCATTGTTGGCAGGGTTGGGGCACCGCGTCCTTCATGGGCATGCCCTTAAAGAATGTACGCTCTGCTCCAACCGTTTGTTCCACAACAGGCATCGTGCTGCTTCCAGGCCGATGCCTCGTTCTTTCTCCTCCCAGCTTAGTTAGGTCCTCATCGGCTGTTTCTGCAGCTTTTTCCACGCGCTATTCCCCTCGGCACCATGTCTGAGTCTGGCGGTGCTGACAATGGAGTAGGCGACGATGACGACTTGCCTAGAGAAGCTCGCACCGGCCTAGATACGTTGTTGTCGTCGTTGGCGAGTATCCCCGTCCCAGCTCGAGTCCCTGCCGAACTAGCGGAACCATCGTCGAGTAGGTATGCTCCAGCAACCACGCCTCCCCCGGTTGTCCAGTGTACACGTCCTGCCGTCGCATCCTCGTCTCCTATGCGCCTGGCTTCTGTTCTCGACTCGGCGCCCCCACCCGTTAGCCCTTCAGTCGTTCCCGCGAAGTCGGGCAACTGCTACCGGCAGATTCGACTGTCGTTTGCCCCTCCCCCGAAGGAACCGGACCCTGAGGCATCGGACTCAGATTCGGACGATGACGCACCAGATGACTCCAACGAGCTGCAGACAGGGAAGAGGCGTCTCACTCCCGAAGACCTGTATGCTGACGCTCTTGACAAGTTTCAACGACGGTGGTCCAGCATGTATCCATGGCTTTTGCTGACTAAAACTGATTGCGGGTTGCCCGCATTTAAGTGCTCTGTCCGTACTGAACACGCAGGGTTGAAGGGGAAGACAGGCAGGAAGGGCGCTGGAGCGACTGACGTCCAGGTCCAGGCCTTCAAGAAGCACGCTGGTACGACCAGGCATCAGCTCGCGTACAGCAAGCAACTCGACCTGCTGCAAGATGCGACCACCCAGCCACGGATTGACCAGCATCCAGTCGCCCAAGACCTCGAGAGGCTCCATGTCACTTCGCTGCTCGACGTGCTCTACTTCAGCAGCCATGAGCCAATGGAGACTTGGATCCGACTCGTTCGCTACTTGTCGGAACGCAAGTTCAAGGGTTTCCCTCAGCAGGGATACGGCACTTACTACAACTCGTATGCCTTTCTTTTCGTTGGTTTCTGTGTACTGTTCTATACGGGATCTGGTTGCTAACACGTTTGGTTACAAGTGTGGTCGCAGGTACGGGTTCGGGCAGCTCACACAGGCGCTGGCTACCTGGCTGCAAACAACCCAGCTGGAGCATCTTCTAGCGAGCCCTTTCATCGGGATTAGCCTCGATGAGAGCACTGACCGCCGGCATGGCAAACACATGATCGTGTTTGTCACGTTCATTCGCGAGAAGCGACAAGTTACTGAGCTTCTCGCCCATCTGACTGTCGAGCGAGCTGACGCTGCGTCGCTTGTCGCTTTACTATTGTCCCACCTCCAGGCTGTTGGAGTAGACCTGCGGAAGATTGCCGGCATTAGCACCGACGGGGCTGCTGTCATGCTCGGCTCTCGAGGAGGGCTTGTTGCTCGACTGAGGGTGCGCATACCACACATCGTCTCCTGTCACTGCATCGCTCACAGGTAAGTGACGAGCGCATGACACTCTGACCCCAGATTACACCGTTTCTTCACTTGCTGACACCGTTTTGTGGACACACGCAGGGAGGCCTTGGCGGCAAAGGCAGCGGCAGAGTCTAACCCTGCCTTCGGCATGGTGGATGATTTCATCAAGGGCATCGCGGATTTTCTTGGCTGGTCTGGTCCCTGGCTCCAGCGCTTCATGAACCAGCAAGATGAGTTCCTCAACGAACCTAGAGCTGCAGGGGATATATGGCATTAGGTGGCTCTCCCGTGGTGAGGCTGTCTTGAGGCTCCTTGCTGTTCTTCCGGCTGTTGTTGTCATGGTGACAGAGATGGGCAATGCCAAGTTGTTGGCAATTGTGAGGAGTTACCGCTTCTGGTTTTATCTCCATTTCCTTGCTGACCTGCTTGAGCAACTGAACATCCTCAACCAGATCTTCCAGCAGAGAGAGGTAAATGGTCCAAACAAGGGTTGTGTGTTCACTGCGAAATAAACTCTTCCTCTCTGTCTCTCTTTCTCTCTCTCTCTCTCTCTCTCTCTCTCTCTCTCTCTCTCTCTCTCTCTCTCTCTCTCTCTCTCTCTCTCTCTCTCTAAACACTCTATCCCACCCCCTCTCTTGGCAGCTGGACTACACCACGGTCCAAGGGCAGATCGCGCAGACGACGACGAGCATTATCGAGAGCCGCTACGTCGACTGCGGCGACGACTTCGGTGGATCCCCAAGGGAGCGGCTCGTATAGTTCATCACCCGTCACAGTCCTGGCGGTTCCAGCAACGTCACCGTTGATGGGGTGGATTCAGACGGCCAGCCAACAACCTTCATCGTAAGTCTTCACTACGTCGAGCTGGACGGCTACCCCAGGAAGGGAACTCACAACGCTTGCGTGGACGATTGCACGGAGATGGCGGAGGAGACTGTGCGCCACCTGGAGTCGAGGTTTGGAGACCTGGAGCAGCTGTCTGGCTGCCGACTGTTCTCTGCTGACACCTGGCCGCCGAACTGGGACCGCAGCATCAGGAACGCACAGTGTCTGGAGTGGTACCGACAGCTGATCAAACTTTTCCGTGCTGAAGAGAACTCCGAGATCCTTCCAGGTACTGGAATTCTGGCAGAACTGCTAATCGTAAGCGCATGTGTCTCCTCCCTTGAGCCTCTTGTCTGTCGTTGGTTAACCGTGTTCCCTTCCCCATGTGCATGGTTCGATGTGTTGCAGGCGTCGATAAAAGAGGGGCGGAGAAGGAACTCCGGCACTTCGTCCCGATGCTGGCCTGTCTCAGCCCTGCGGACAAGAAGTTCTTCACGGCTCTTACGACAGTGCTCAAGACCGCTGACTGGCAGATCCATTACCCCAGCCTGGTGGGGTTGTGGGTGGCTGTGGCGGTTCTACCGCTCAGTACTGTAGAATGTGAGCGGGGTTTCTCCCGACAGAATCTCATCAAGAGCTGGCAGCGGGGTAGTCTTAAGGATACTAGGTTATCTGACTTAATGTGCATGTCTATGCTAGACTATGCGCCGGACTGGGATGCTGTGGTGGAGATCTGGCGGGCCTACAAGAAGAGGCGCCCATTCTCCACATCCCTGGCCACTGTGCAGAGCATAAAGGGGAAGGAGCCGATGGAAGAGGATGCTTTTGAGCCCCCCCTAGTTATGGAAGATGCAGTAGAGAACGATGGTGCTGCTGGGCCTAGTTGTGATGAGGAGTTGTAACTTTTCCAGGTGCAACTATTGAATATTGGCTGCAGCCTTTTTTCCCATGTTAAGTCTGAACATCTAGGAAAAAAAAATCATGCAAGGCTGAATGTCCAGCCTTTTTGCTACGCTGGAGGCTAGGCGATCGGCCTAAAACAGGAGGGTAAGGATGGTTGATCAGCGTACACTCAAACCAATCTATAGGCCTGGTACCGGTACTGTACGGAACCTCAATAGTAGAGTTTGTTGATGGGAGGAGTATACAGCCGACTTGTGTGCCCACTACTTGTCCTCTTGCTGCTCCACATGTGGGTGGGCACGAGAGGTTGCGTTGCGGTGCTGTGATTGCGTCGCATCAAAATTGCGGCTGGGCTATAATATAATAGAAAATGTTTGCTCGTATGTTACAAAGATTGGATTCAATTCAAGCCCTACGATATCATATGAGCCGGAGATGTGCAGCTGCGCTCAAATAGGGCATGTAACAAAAGCGAGATATTCGTATGGCTGCATGCCTAGATGTGTTAAATTATATCTTTGATATATAATTGGTAAGCTTGGTAGGTATTACTGAAACCTACTGTAGAGGGTACAACCCCCCTCCTTGTATCCCTTTTCTATTCTCGAACCCTCTTTCCTCTCGTAACTTTTCCAGCCCTATAACCTCAGGCCATTCTATGGCTTCCGCTTCCTAGCTATTTTGACATGGTATCAAAGCAGGTTGCCCTTCACAGGCCTGCTCCCAACGCTTCCGCCGCGTACTCGTACTTCAGTCGTCATTTCCGCTACTTTCGTGCCGCCGTCGCGGCCATGCCACGCTGCAGTGACGGCGTCGTGGTGCTGCCGTTGCAGCCCTGACGTGTGGCGTCGACGCCACACCGCGGCGACGGTGTCGTGCTGACGTCGCAGTGTCGACGTACCGCCCGCGGCATTGACACCGCGCAGTGGAGGCGGCGTTATGCTGCTGTGGCGGCGTCGACAGGCGGCAGCGGGCCGCGTGACGTCTTAGGCGCCGCCGGTCCTAACGCCCGCACGCCAGCCACGGGCCTGTTGCAAAAGCCCTGCCCCCCTTTCCTGCGTCCTCTCTTCCTTGCCGCAGCCGATGGTTGACTCCCGCTGGCCGTCCCACCGTCGCGGAGCCTGGCCACGCCGCCGAGTGCTGCGAGCCCAGCCGCCGCCACTGCCGCTGCTGTCAAAGCCGCGGCGACCGCCGCTGTCGTTGTTGCGTTGGGGCCACGCTGCCGCCGCTGTCGACGCTGCCACCGTCGCCGCCACAGCCCTTGCTATCGACGTCGCCGCCTCACGCGCCGAGGGGTTGACCGGGCTAGTGTAGTCGTCGCTGCTACTGAGTATGGGGGTGCTAGATTTAGGGGGTGTGTGTGGCTTAGTGTCCTG